AAGGATCGAGAGGCCAGCTTTGGCCAATAGGAAAGGGAATGTGTTTCATCAGGACAAAGCCAAGCCACACACATCGATAGAGACTCGCCATAAGCTCCGCGAGCTTTATTGGGAGCTTTTTATGCATATACCTTTTAGTTCCGACTTGGCACTAGCTGATTACCATCTGGTTCTATTCATGGCGAACTGGTTTAAAACTTACTTCAAAAAAGGCTTGTTAGAATGGACTATCACAATTTTTTGCCAATAGAGACGAAGTTTTTTCTGAGAGAGACATGATGGTATTACCTTCTAAATGGCAATTAGTTACCGAACATAACGGTGTATAATTGACATAAATCGGATCATTTTAACTTCTGAACCATAAAATCAATGTAAAAATTATAAATTTCTTTTTACTTCGCTTATTATACTAGTTTTCAAATGCGAAGTTCTAAAGTGCTTAAATGTAATACTCAAAAATTTTTTTTTTTGAACTATTGCTAAAATGACGTTCAACTAATAAAAGCACTCGCTTATCAAAAAGCATGTGATGATACTTGAGCCAAATAATAATCAAACCTTGATTACTAAATATATCTTTCTCAAACGAGGAAAAACTTCCTAAGTTCAATTGAGTGAATTGAAAGATACATGCCGAATACGAAATTAAATGCAAAGCTTGCATTATAGTTACATAATTATAACAAAGTTGCGTTTAATAGAAACAAAAATATTATTATTTAAAATTAGGCTAGTGGAGAATAAATAAAATATACTTTTTATCATTTTTATTAATGACGAAACAATCTAAATTTTTTGTCAAACCGGTTTACATCTTTGCGAATAATCTCGTCGTTTTTGCTATAATGATTTACACAGAATAATATGCTGTCCCTGGAATTGTTTATTTTTCTTCTTATATTTTCTTATTGTGGTTATATGTCTGTTTTATAACATTATACAATCAATTATAAATCTTTCAACGATTTTTTAGTGAATTATTTTTATATTATTTTGTATTTGTTTATTATATTTTATTATAACTATTTGAGAATCATAGTTGTTGTTTATCATTTTCTTTAATACTTCTTAAACTAATTAACTAAATTTTTTGTTATAAAGCGCAAAATTCAACTTAGTCTTTTATTTTGCTGTCATAATTCATAATTTGTTATACGACTTTTTTAAGAAAATAATAGTCATTGGTAACCTTACTGAAAGTCTTCTAAGGGATGCTAATGAAACTATTCGTCTAATAAAAATTAGGCCACTTCAGTTTAATCGGAAAGTAAGTAACTTGTTCATAGTCTAAAAATATGCTTGGAAGTTCCAAGTTGGGAAGTAAAGCTGAACAGAGACAAAAACTATGATCAGATGTACATTGTTCATAAATCTTGGGTCTTCATCCTTAAAGCTTACTTTTTTTCAATCCATTATTTTAATTTAAAGAATTTCGTAAAAACTAAATATATTTTTTCCCAAGTATATGGTTTTTCACTTCCATCTGCCCCGCCATCGTTTTATTCAAGGAATCCAAAACACCATTTAAGCTTCGGTTCAAGCGTTCTTCAGATGTCAAGGCTAATACCTCAAGACGTAAAATGAAACGTAAATGATTTTTACGAACATGTAAATTGTTCAAATATTTAAATGACTTGCAAATGTTGTTGCACATCAGTCCTTGAAACTAATTTATCAAGATCTAATTAAATTTAACAAGCTTCTAACGGAAACACTTAGCAATCTAATGATTAATTTGATGAATTATATAATTTAAATTTGACATTTGTTATGCTAAAACATAATTAAAAACTTAATAAAAACTAAATTATATTTAAATATCTTAGTTTTATAGAAACACTATAGCAGCAAATGTCTTACAATTTGCAAAATTTTGGGTACTGCAAAAATCCCGAATGAAATAAAATTATTCAAAAATAACTATGTGCATATAATTTAAAGAGTTGTATCTATTATATTAAAAGTGAGTAAAAATAATTCTGTCAGATCTATTTAAAATGATTTAATATTCCAGCTTCGCACTTTACCGTGTAGGTTTCTTATTTTCAATTGGGAACATACACTTAATCTATATTTTTTAGGTTCTCTAGTATCGATAATTTCAATCAATACTTTATGCTGAAAGTATTGAGATCAATTAAGTATTGAGAATAAAAAAGTATTGAGAGCTACCTTAAATTATTTAACTACTTTTGATTGAAATATTCATTCAAATTAGTATTTTATAAAATGTACAAGGAATGTGCAGGAAAAGCATCTGCATACTTTGCTTATTATGCATTTGCCTAATAGTATACTTTTATAATTTTTATAAGTTCAGTTAACAAATTTTTAAACTATTAAGACAAAATATATTCACTGCCGTACATTCAAAAAATACAATACGGATATTTATTAAATTTTGTTTGTAGATCAGTGTACGTTTTGTGAATCAATAAAGTAGAGTTTTTTAGTCGAACATTAGAAAAAATAATCTATATTCATTTGAATATATTTATATCGAATTTTTAATTAATAGAAAAAAATAAATTTTAAATTTTTGGGGGTTTGGTAAATTATCATCGGTTGATACATGGTTGCATATACCAAAGTAGTAATTATGTAGCTTTTTTATTTCTTTTATTAGTAACAATTAGAACATTAATTACATTCTATGAGTTATTTTGATTTACATTAATTAAATATAATTATAGATAGTAATTACTTCAGTGGGTATGTACTATTAGATACAATTTATTAGATCAAATTAATAGGCCATAATTTTTTTGGCTTCTTAATTTTGATGTAAGGAGCAGCGGAGCAAAGAGTGAGTTGGGGTGATCTTCAAATTTATAATGATCATCAGTGTATATTGTTTTTATACAGTTTTTAATATATAGCACATTGATATAATCATGCAGAGTTTTGCTTACGTACCAGGGTGCAACTGTCATCATTATAAGTAGTTTTGTTTGTAGCAAATTTAATATATATATGAAATAACTTTCAAACCGTCGAACTATAAAGTATTCTGTAGGAATTCATGGATTTTCCAAGTAGATTTTTAAATAAATAGTACTTGTAAGTTTAATAGAATTTTAATTCGCCTGACCGACGTTATTACGCATTTTGTGACGCACACACGCGATGCAAAATCCAACAGACGTTTCCATCATCAAAAGTGCAAATGGATGAACCTGTTCCTTCAGACCCGAGTTGATTTCATTTTATTATTTTTACCACTCGGACTATGATCATGCATTAAATATGCACCATTTGCTCTTTTTATGTCTGAATTGATGTTCACATCATTTAATATTTATATCGTTCTATAGTGCGCATGCGAGATGGGTTTGGAGTGGACACGACGATAATTAAGTGTCCATCAGAAAAATGATTTGCAATATTTTGCATCTCTTGTGATGATGTCACATCTGCTTTTTAATAATACTTTGAATGGCTATTGTTTACCCGCTATAATTGTGCATAGGAATAAATACATTTTGCATTGAAAGTTAGAACATGCGATTCATGAAGTATGAATTGCAAAGACATCAAGGTTTTTTTCACGTGTGAGATATGTGAAGCGTAACCAATAACGCACGAAAAAATCATATGTTTTTGGTTATATTAAAAAGATCGAATTTTGTAGATATTGAATTATGTGATTTTACTTTATCAGTAAAAAATGCCATTCCCAAGGCTGCTTCTTACAATAACTAATAAATATAACTCAAATCTAATAATTTGAGAACTCATTTTATTAATTCTCGTCCCAAAATGTATAGAACTCGACTAAAGTAGTATAATCTTATACTTACTATCGAGATTAATAATCAAATTATGATGGAATGAATTGAATATTGAATGAATTACTTCTCTCAAAATTTCTGCAATTTTTTAATGCTTTATTATGCAATCGCCGCCTATTAATAAAAATTGTAGTAACATATATTATTGCAATTTATTGTTAGCCTCTTGATCTTAAAGTTTTATTATTTACTTTCAACTTTATTACCACCGATATAAAGACCGAACTTTCTAGGAAAAGGAAATATATTTCATGATTAATTTTAATTTTTCTAGCATAATTATAGGTGTAATTGGTAGTATCAAAATGTGAATATTTTAATATATATTGACAATTTTTGTTTACTTACTAAAAAGTGAGCAAGGGTGTAAATTGTATTACCAAAATGATCTTCTAAAGGTGTTTTTTATAAAAAAAGACGGAAATATTTCACGAAGGATGGGATTTTATATTCTTATAGCAATAAAAAAGTTCATTACACGAAAACCTTTAGTATTTGTATCAAAAGGTTAATTTCAGTATATTTGGACTTCATATCTCGAATTAAATTTTATTACAAAAGTTGACCAATGACAATCTATTTTTGACAATATTGTTTTTTTAAAGAAATGTATGCGATAGAATACTAAATTTTGTTGCATATATCACTAAAATAAAAAGTCCAATAACACAAAATGATGATATCAAATGCATCAGATATTATAACAAATGAATTTTCTTCTATGCATGCAGCGATTGTATCAATATTTTTGTACACGTTTTTTGCTGGTAATGATATTCAATTATGATATTATTATTGATATATCGAATTTTCTATTTTCCTACCATAGGGTTACAAGTTTTTTTTGTAAATAAATAATACTTGATGTTCATTTGATATAAATCTGGAACAAATTGTGATTTGAAATTGCGTTACTATATTTGCCTCATTATGTGATATTTTGTATGACCGTCACTTTGCTAAGTTCTACGGCTTCGAAATGTATTTTAATATATATTTTATTTTGGGTAAAATATTTCTTATATTATAATATTTATAATATATTATTGACTTTAAGACAAAAGAGTGTGGACGATAAATGTTATTTTAGGATTTTACTATATTTCTTTAATTTTTGCTTGAAAATTTCTCTAATTTAAAGATATACATGAATTTCAAATTAATAATATTTTTTATGATTTATTGATATTTTAATATTATTTTCAGATGTGAAGACAATTCTTCATGCAGTCAGCGGCCGCTTGAGGTCAGGCGAGCTGACTGCCATTATGGGACCTTCGGGTGCTGGAAAAAGTACTTTGCTGAATATTCTTACTGGATATATGTAAGTAAAAATATAAAGTATATATATTTAGAAATCTTGAACTTATTTTTAAACGAGGCGAATAAAAGAAACATATTCATAAATTAGATGAAGAGCTTTATTGCTCCTGTTAATCATGGTTATGTAATTTTATACCATAACAAATTTCTTTATATAATTTGTAATAATTTTGAAAAAAATGCAGCCGTGATTTATTTTATTTCTCTATGTATCTCTTCATGCGAATTTATCTACCTATATAACGAATAATGGAAAATCTCTTCTATCCTATTATTTCTATCTGATGATTAATAATCGTTCACAATTTTTATATATTTGGAATATTTGTTCGTTATTTTGTACACTTATGTTTTATTTTATAAGTCACATTTCATGGACATAAATCCAATAGATACAATCCATGTAGATAAAATTATGTTTTATTTGCTATATTAATTGCTAAAATGGCTTTACATATATTACCAAATAAAAATTGATTCATATTCAAAAATTATATATTTTTGGAATAAATTAATAGTCTGGCATTTTTTAAATTATGATATCTTCTTTATGTTATGCGGTGTTCAATTATTTAATTACTTGATATCTAATTAATTTCTTCTGAAATAAAAATAATAATATTATTTATAATATGATAATTTACTAAAACAATTGTTAAACTAGTGGGTATGTTTAATTTTCCCAAACTCAGCTGTTTCCATGAATCGAGATAAGAAAAGAACTTTGGCCAAACTTCTCTTACGTGATCAGCGATAATTTTATCCCAATAACATTTAATCATGTTTATTAGTTCAACGTCTAATTGCATTAATACTACAGATCAGCCTAAAAACGCGTAATTTGTTATTAATTTCAAATTATTGATATGCAACATATTTTGATTGCATATAGGTGAATTGAAAATATTATTATATGCGATGATGCTAATCACAAAGTTCACATAAAATCGATAACGGATGAGTTATTGACGAACTTAAACTGTTTTTTATTGATTGTGATATCACGCAATGAAAATTCTTAGAAAATTTATCGACATCTATAGTCTCTAGTTATGTCAAAGTTACTAAAAATAATAATAAGTTAATAAAAAACTATTTATTATTAACTAAGCATATGGAAAATGCAATAAATCTAATGACTGATGGAATGAATATTAGCTCTATAATAAATAGTAGTTTTAAATTTCAATTAATTTTAATTTTATTATCAATTTTTAAATTTTAATATCAAACATTAGTAAAATGATTTATAATTATTCAAATATTGCTTATAATAAACTAATAAAACGGCCTAGTTATTATTTATTTACAATTAAATTTCAATTTAGAACATCAATCATAGAATAGTAATCACTGATTCATTACTTAATATGACATTTGTTTATTGGAAACAGACATTGATTACTAAACAATATGCGTTCTGATTTCATTTTGTAAACTGGTGTTAGATTTAGACGAATTAATTTCACTTATTTTAAAAAAAATATAAAAACAATAATAAACTAGAGAAACAATAAGGTTACCAATAAGGATATTTCTAATTCTGCGGTAAGCGTCCGGTCTTGTAATCATCATCCCGAAATCAAATTTGTGTTTCGGACAACCTTATATCAAGACGTAGATATGATATCCATTTATATTAAAATTATATATCAAAATATGTTTCCTAATGAAAAAAGTTTTTCATTTTGGCAATTCTGCAATGAGTGAAATTTACCATCCAGTGTAGATATTGAGTAAAATTCACGACCTAGTAAAGGTACTTCTAATATAAAATAATGTACATCAAATAGATAGGATAATCCTTGACTGTCTTCTATAATGCCACGGAGTTTAGGATAAACACAATCATGACAGAATATTGAGAATAAAAATCAATAATAAAATACATAAATACATACCTCAAACAAGCAATTTCGCAAGCAATTTATCACACTATGCAGCTTAATAGAGCTTTTTTATCTACGCCTTCTAAGATTGTGTATTATTTCAATGCCAACATTGGCCCTTTTCTTGCTTCATTTTTAAATTTTTGATGAACTTACTTCATATTAGTACAGAACCTTAAATTAAAAAGAAAAATAATATAGATTTTCTAATTTTGTAACAAATTTGTAATAGTGGAAATGCGTGTATAATATAAATATTATAATCATTTTGAAAAGATACAATCTGGAAATCAATGTTTTTTGTTGTTTGTTATGTATAAAATATGTTCATTACTCATTGGAGTTCTGAAAATGATTGTTTTTTTCGCTGTAACTTTGATATGACTTGACCTATCATTACCCAAAATCAAAGACTTTTGCATCTGAGAATTGAATATTTTTCCAAATATTTTGCGTCCACATGATCCATACATACTTTACGCACATGAATACAAAAAAATTTTATGTTATGCTAAAGTAATGAGATGTAACAATTACTTACTTGTCACAAATAATTAATGTGTTTTCTTTACTATAGGACCGAAGGCATGGACGGTTCCATAACGATGAACGGCGAGGAACGTAATCTAAGCCGATTCCGCAAGTTGTCCTGCTACATAATGCAAGACAATCAACTTCATAATAATCTTACCGTACAAGAAGCGATGCATGTCGCCACCAGTTTGAAACTCAGCAGCGACACTGATCCGGAACACAAGCAACAAGTTGTGAGTAATATTTATATTTGAACCATTCAGTTCTAAAATAAACATTTTGTGTGAAATGAAACTTTTCTGAACAATAATGCAGAATGCCATGGCCAGGGTTCAAGACCTGCAATATATTGATAAGTCAAGTATTTAGTGCATTGTACTGCATAAACAACATTATTAGTAAACTTTTATTTTTATACTATAATCTGAAAGGGCTCTTCCGACTCATGGTATGCAGTAATATAATTAGCAATATGTTTCCAATCAAAAATAGCCTTTTACCTGGCATGGCTGCATCCAATAAAGCCGATTGGAGTATAAATAAATAAATAAATAAATAAAAAAACATTAGTTTAGTAAGAAATGTATCTGTGAATTGCCTTTATAGTTTTTGTTATTTGTATGAAATATTGTTATTATCATGCAGTTGAAATCATTATGTACATACCTTTTGCTATCGAAAAGTAACACAAGAGCTTAGCGAGGCACTAAAGTCATATTCGTTATTTTTACTTGTCTATAATTGAAGGATTTACGTTTATATTATGACATTAGTTATGTTCCTTACCTAGTCTTTCTCTTGAAAGGATACATCTAGAAACCTTTTTTTTTAATTCTTTTTTAATGCTTTCAAATTTGTACATGCTTGAAAAAATTGAAAAGGTATATCTCTCTTATCAATATTACAGTCCTGCTACGTGATACTTTTTTGTAAAAATCTTTAATATATAATGTAGTTACTTGAATATAGTAAAACGTCTGAACGTTTACTTATTTATTTATTTATTTAAATAACTAGTTGACTAAATTGACATTTGCCATAATAAGATTATATTAAGCTTTATATACTTTGCACGTTCAACAGTAAATAGTGAACAATTGATTAATGAAATGCAACATTAGATGTAAATATGCCATATATGAAATACATCATTTTAAAGCTCTGAGCCAGAAAGGGTTAGCTTGCATTTTGTGTTTGATTTATAACCTAATTCTAATAATATTAAATTAACAAGATAAGGTAAAAAATGGAATATTAATCAATTTAGTAGATCTGAAGCTGATTTACTTGTAAAATTAGTTTATGTTTTTCATATAAATTACTGTATTTCTGTATCATCTCTCAAAGCTTATGTTATGTCAAGAAAAGTTCAAGGAAATGCAAATATGTATGTAATTTTTAAATGTATAATAGTTTTTCATAATCATAAATTTATTATATACATAATGAATATCAAATAATTATATTTTTGTTTTTTCTTTAGATTAAAGAAATCTTAGTCACATTGGGCTTGGATGAGCATCGTCGTACATTGACTGGAGATTTATCTGGTGGTCAGAAGAAACGTCTGTCAATTGCTCTCGAGTTGGTTAACAATCCACCAGTTATGTTCTTTGACGAACCCACATCTGGTCTGGATTCTTCATCCTGCTTCCAATGTATATCTTTGTTGAAGCAGTTGTCTCGTGGTGGAAGAACTATTATCTGTACAATTCACCAACCTTCTGCCAGATTGTTTGAAATGTTCGATCATTTATATACATTGGCGGAAGGGAAATGTGTCTATCAAGGATCCACTGGCCAACTAGGTAAGATGAAACTGAAACTTAAGAAGTATTAAATGACATTGCTGTATCTTTAAATTGGTATAAGCAAAATGTGAAAATTGATAAGCACGATATTCTTTACTTTTAATTGTCTTTATTTTCTTGATACTATTTTTATACTGTGTATTTGAGTAAATGTAGATGTCTTTGATTCTTACACTTTTAAATTTTGTACCTCGAAGAACATTTATTAAACTTATATTTATTTTCTTGTTTTTTCTGAACAAACTTTTGCTTCAAGTCGCAAAAGATTTTTGAACCAGGATATAAGCATTTTCTGCTGAAACTTGTTAATGAATGTTTAGAGGTTTAGTCTACTGATGATGATTTCGTTTCTAAAACCATTATACTAATATATTATCATTTTAGTTCCTTTCCTCGGCGGTCTCGGTTTGCAATGCCCGGCTTACCACAACCCGGCATCCTTCGTGATCGAGGTCTCCTGCGGCGAGTATGGTAATCATAATGCTCAGCTCGTCAAAGCCATTCGAAATGGAAAGAACGACATCAGAAGCTCCCAGAACACCATCACGAATGGCCTTAATAATCTAACAGCCGCGGCTAATGGCAATGGTAATGGGGTTTACAAGAACGGAAATGCACAGATTCATAATGTTAACGAATTGCGCCACGATGCTGAAGAGAAGTTCTCTGAGAAAGGACATGATAATAATGGATCACTGGTGCCGCAGTATATGGTCAATGAACTACTGAAAAATGGACAAGGTAATTGACTGTTGATTGACTATGTATACATAAAGTTTCTGCCTCTTTTTTCGAAATAATAATTTTGTTTTCTGATGAATATTTAATGATAGTATTTGCTATTTAGTTTCTGGTTGGTAGCAGACTTATTGATTTATTTGAATGTAAATAAGTGTGAATACGTAGTTATCAATACTTCAGCGTATTGAGCTCTTATTTTTTGCTTTCATTTAAAAATAATTTATACGAATCATTCGTTCTATTTATTTAGCAATAATTCTCATGCACATGCCAACATTTGTAAAATTTTAAATAAAATCAAAATTTGCGGAATCAATACTTTGTGAAAATGAACTCTTGAGAAGAAGAATCATTGAACAACTGATATTAGTGCACAGAAATATTATTTTATTTAAAGCACTTAATTTTTTTAAATATCACAGATAAATATAACAGATCAAATTTACTCATAGGCATCTTCATATAGGTCGAATATAGGTCTTCTCAAAAATTGTCCTTAACTATTGTATCAACAAATATTAGTTTTGGATTTGATTCCTCTAAAGTTGTTTCAGAAATTCGTATATTACTCATATCATTTTCAGCCATTTTCGTTCTTAATTCGATTTAATTCACGATAATGAATTAACCGTAAATTGTTGCAGAAAATGATTAATTATGTAAAGTTAAATTGAAGAGAAAACCTTGTATGCATTTTTAAGATACATCGAATAAGTTATGTGTTAGTGATTACTTCATGAAATAATTTCTCTTGCTTGGTTTTATTTTATTATATATTATGATTTTATGCTTTTATTTATTTTATTATATATTATATAAAATTTTGTTACATAATTATACATTTATTAATTTTATATGAATTTAAATTGCAGTTCTGCCTATGCAAAAGGAAACTAATCCAGACAATGTCACTGTGGCTTTATTGGATCCAGGAGCAAATCCTAATAGCTATCCCACTTCTGAACTTCAACAGTTCTGGGTTGTACTCAAGAGAACACTTTTATTCAGCAGAAGAGATTGGGTATGTTAATTATCCACTACTAACTCTCCTAAATTTATGTTTAATTATATATTATATAAATATGTTATTATAGTACAATGAATAACTGATTTTTTTTTTATTTCAGACCCTTATGTATTTGAGATTATTCGCACACATTCTCGTTGGTTTCCTAATCGGTGCATTGTATTACGACATCGGAAATGATGGTGCCAAAGTTCTCAGCAACTTGGGTTTCTTGTTTTTCAACATGTTATTCCTTATGTACACTTCTATGACCATTACTATTCTTTCATGTAAGTAGTTGTTTAATTGCTATTTCTATTCATTACATCACAACTTGTTTGGCATAATCTAATGTAACTTTAAAATTTTAGTCCCGCTCGAAATGCCGGTTTTGTTGAAGGAACATTTTAATCGGTGGTATTCATTAAGATCATACTATTTGGCAATTACTGTGTCGGACATTCCTTTCCAGGTAAGATTTTGATTTTTATTCTGTGGTTATGGGCATTTTCACAAATTATCGTTTTCATAATCCATAACCATGTCGTTCTAAAATTATTCACATCATTGGCTTTCGTAATAACATTATATTTACATTTATCAAAAATATTGGATATACACGTGCATTATGCAGTATTTTATTTATAAATTTATATTACTAATTAAGTAACACATATAATTGTTTTTTGGTGCATATGGTGTTTGTAAGTGGCTTGTATTGGGATTCGATTAATAATAATCCATGCATATTTCTGGGCGCTATTGACAATACTTCTATAATTTGGAAATAGTACCTACTTACGTCAGCGAAGAAACTAAAGGAGAAAATTTATGAAGTAGTTAGAAAATTCAAAAAAATACGTGAGATACTTTTGAACTACGTTTACATACCTATTGATTTTATTTCTTGCATCCTTGTGTTAAATGTAAAGCGAGAGTTTTTAAGGTTTTTTCGCGAGGCTGATTTGAGTGGATTTAATTCACATTTCCATTCGATAGATTAGGTTTCTTGCAGTTATAATATCTTTATTGAAGATTAATTTTTTCACCGTATGTACAGATTTATTTCATACGCATCTCTATAATTAATTTTCTGACACAATACACAATTCTTAAAGTAAAATTGTTCTTAAAATATAACATTCAATCAATTATAATTCTGTGGTTGAAAAAAAGGTATATGAAGTTTTCACAGCACATTGCCTATCGAGTTCAGCATTACATATGTATGTAATATATTAAACTATGATATTATTATTGATGTGTGTTTATAGTTTTTTTTTGTGTAATGGCAATTAACATATGCATGAATATCACGTTGTTGCTATATATATTGTAATTTTTTCATATTCATCTTTTATGTATTATAATATTTTTTCATATATTCAACACGCGCGCATATGCATTTTTCTTTGTATGCACTTTGATATGATAATTTAAATAAATATGGCTATTTAATTATATTGTGCAATGACCATCTCGTCATTTAATTTGTGAATACAGTTTTATTTATTGTGCGTCTTTATTTTGTATTTGTCCTTACCTATAATTATGTTTACGTTTAATAACATCTTAGGCATATGATTTTATATTTTTTTGTCATGAAGAATAGTCACGATAATAAATGTTAGAATGTCTGATAAAATTCTAAGATCGTATAAAATCGTAACACATCGTATGAAAAATTATTTCAAATAAATGGCTATATTTCAACTTTCAATAATCAACATTGCAATGGTTAAGTCTTAACTATATTGCTCTAAATATCCATTTCTCTTATTGTCATATATTAGCAAATCAAATCATGATTTTATGTAGAAGTCGAAATATAATAATAAAAGCAAATTACTGGTAATCCATTCCACTTCAAAGTTATTTAATTTAATGAGCAATTTACCCAGTTACTTCTAAACAAATAATGAATTCTGGTAAAAATGTTGTAATTTACATAATTTCAATTTGGAGTGTTTGAAATCAGCTTCATAAATTTCCATTATTCGATAATAATTTACATATCTAAAGTTTTTCTTAAAAACTTTATGATATTTTCATTACCAGAGAAATTAAATCTCATAAACGAATTCTTCAAAAATCTTTTCTGAACAAGTGTTGACTTGAATTCAACCTTTCTGTATAATTCTCATCGACAATATTATTCACAAATGTGTGATAATAATCTAAATAGCATATTCTTCAGGAGTAACATATTTTTAGTCATTTACATACGAGTAACATGTTTTTAGTCATCAACATTTTATTCAGATTGCTTACTCACTACTTGGCTTCATAAATCATATCTCATTGTCATACCTAGTTTCATCACTTATCATGAAATGCTTAATCATGGTAAGAACTGAATTATCGAGTTGAATCCTAATCCCGACTATATTCTTATTAGACGATCTTCTGCATAATCTACGTAACCATCGTGTATTTCCTGACATCTCAACCACTTGAGATAGCTCGTTTCTCGATGTTCTTGGGCGCTTGTCTCCTGATCTCATTTGTCGCACAAAGTGTCGGATTGGTAGTAGGAGCTGCAATGAACGTCCAAAATGGAGTATTCTTGGCACCTGTGATGTCTGTACCATTCCTGCTCTTCTCTGGATTCTTCGTATCCTTCGACGCAATACCAGTTTACTTGCGCTGGATCACTTATTTGAGTTACATCAGATATGGATTCGAAGGAACAGCTTTGGCAACTTACGGTTTTGCCAGAGAGAAACTAAAATGTTTCCAAGTCTACTGCCATTTCAAGAATCCAGAAACCACTTTGGAAGAATTGGATATGTTGGATGCTGATTTTACCGTCGATATCATTGCTCTTATTGTCATATTCGTAGTACTAAGAGTTGCTGCCTTCCTGTTCTTGAGATGGAAACTGAAGACCACTCGATAAATTACTCACGATAAATTAAGTATAAGTGTATTATTTAAAATTCAAAAAATTCTATAAAGGATTGATATGAGCTATCAAGGCACGTACTTCTACAAATCTACAAATATCTGTTTAGACTATAACATACGTAATTGTTATTAAGGATATATTTAATTATTATAAATGTTAGCTTTTATATGTTGATATTAGAAAATACTTTTATACAAACAAAGATCGATGAAACAAAAGTTGCATTACCGATGTGCGAAAGATGAACAAGGACTTGATCTCGAAATGAAAAATCATCTCAATTTAAATTTTGATTTGAATATTTTACTTAAGTCATTCAAGAGCATAAAGTGATATCTTTTATTTTGATTTCCTTATATTGCAAAATAATCCTTGATTCTCCAAATAATATTTAAAAAATCGTCATTATGTTTCTGTCTTCGGGATTGAGCCTCAATTCACCCTTGTTCTTTCGGATGGATATATTAAATATAATAGATGTATGATTATATTATTATTGATGTTTTTGGAACAATGCAAAAGGCTGTGCAAGATACAAATTTAATTTCTAGCATTCAATGCCTCTCTAAATATATAGTTAATAATTTAATACTCTACAAAATGTAATTTTAATTAATTCAATGCCGATATTTAATAATTTATATAATAAATATATTGAGTATATTTTTTATACAATAACTTGAACAAATTGGATGCCTTGATTTAAATTGCCTGTAAAATGTGTAAAACTCTTGCCTAAAATTAGGGAAACGTGTAATGTCGTGGACCAGATAGCTGTGTTTTAAATATTATATGTTAACATAGCATAAATAAAATATTTTTATTAATAAATGATATATCATGTGCTAGTTGCACATAAGATCTTATTTATAGTTGGGTTTCTGCGGTGTGTAATTGCAGAATTTATATTGTATGTTTGAATAATAAAATAAACTAAAAAAGTTTGGTTCTATTTTATTTATGGAAAAACTTCAACTTCGAAGTTTAACACTATGAAGGTATATTATATCAAATAGATTTCCCCACATATTAAATTTGTTCACAGGTTAGCAAAAAGTTTCTCTGAATTTTTTCAAATATTTGAACGAATGATTTCATTTGAAAAATGAATTCATTTTCATTTCTTCAGATCAGTTTACATTTTTTGATTGCATTATTACAATTGAGTTCGAATTCACAATATCAGGTTTTAGGGAATCAACCTTATCTTAATCGTATTCAATCTGATCAATATCTGAATTCTTAGCTCATAAGATAAATGTTATGAACTTTATCACTTTTGCACGAGTTCATATTTTTTTGATCAATTGCAATAAATCATCAATATTTTATTCAAGTGAATGAGCTACCAGAGGTAAAAGTCATCTTAAATAAGATTAGAAGATCATTATTGCAGATCATATTCACGTTATTGAGATTTGATTAGGCACAATTCAGATTATGATTAGAAGGACGTTTTTATATAAAAGGTCACAAAAAGTCAGGCTTTTGCAGTGGACTGCATAATATTATAGACTGTTAAATTATCATATAAACGAATTAAATTTAAATAATATCTTGATAAACACAAATAGTTTCATTTTAAATAATTATGAAAATGTAATGACTTATATTCAGGATGTGCAGATTGATTTGAATTTTAATAATATGGAATAAAACTTTTCCATAGTATATACATAAAATGATATTAATTAGTTAAAATGAGTGAGTTTGTTTTAAAAGACTCATATTAATCGAATTTATTATTGCATTTTTTGTTTACTTTCAAAGTTTTTTTTTATATTTTGTATATAAAATATATTAAATTTTACTTATCTTATAAAAAAATTCGAAATACTATACTAGGTAAAAGTAATTCATTATTTGTTAAAATACTTCATTTAATTTCGAACAATAATTCAAAATTTTCTTATTATTGAATGGTGTGAATCGATAGACCTTCTCATGCCAATATTTGACCGCGAGGGTCAAATGAATATTTGAAGTTGAATATTAAATAAGATATTGCTACGTATTATTGTGAAAATAGACGTAGATTTTCATTCTTAGAAATGAAAATATTAGAAGCAATTATATTACACCATGGAAATTTTTTAATTTGATTATTTATTAATTTACTGAAGAGGTTGTTTTGTTGTGATCAAGAAGATCAAAATTAGAATATTCATATGTTACATGCTATCAAACCAAAAATCTGAAACTGCAGGTTGTGTATTCAAATATAATACAAGTCGCATTAATTAATAAACAAAATCTTAAACTTTTTAAATAAATGATTAGAAATTGTGAATTTTAAAATAAACGAAATCAACAAAGGGATTAGTTTTAAATTTGGAAGTTCTAATAACTCATTTATATTGAAATTCCAATAATGTTCTATTACCGTTAGGAATTGATATTTCACGAATGAAAAGCTTTTCTTCGAGTTTTTTCATGAAGAAAGCGGAACCGTAGGAATTACATTTTATATTTTGGATGCTCTTACAATATAATAATAATCTTATGATAGGTTTCCGATTCTTGGAATAAACAAAAAGATAGAAGTATTTTCAAAGATTATTAAAGCTATAAAAAATTTTAGTGATTGATTTTCAACAAATATCGAGTGTATTCAAAATATGAATCTTCAAACTTACAACTTTGAAATCACCAAAATATTTTTTTTTTCGCAAATTATGTGATTTTATCTAATCTTATTACGTTCTTTGGATATCAATTTGTATTTTCTTTGATCTTGGCCTTGGCGCCAAACGTGGATTAGCAAATACTGAGGTTCCGAGTTCAATCCTAACCTTGATAATCAAGCAGTAGCGATATCAAATTATCAAATGAGGTTATAGATCGGACATTGCCTTATAGAAATATATATTAAGTTCACTATTAAAAATATATTTAAAAGTTAAAACAGTTTATAGAACACATCGTTCTGATGGAATAAAAATAAAAAATTATATATTTTAACCTCTGAATCACCAATCCGCATCCATAAAAGGCATTCATGTTATAGACTTGGTTCAACGTTGCTAATAGGTTTTGAAGAAAATATTCTAGTCTAGAACTTTCAAAAACTCGATTTTTTTAGATTATTCAAAGCCTAATTATTCGTGAATATGTGTATAAATGGATTTTTCATATTCTAAATTATTTTCGGAGATATAGCTGTTTGACCACAGTAGTCCTCCCACGATTTTTCAACTTCTACTGGAGCGATTTACTTAAATTTATTTACATAATCTTCTTTATAGATTTTTCTTCGGTATGAAATACGCTAATCCTAAATTCCGATTGTTACTATTATTTAGAAGTTGGAGAGTATCAAAAAAGTTGTAATTTTGAAGTAAAACTTCTTTAGGCGCGACTAGAGTGTGCATCTGTACAAATGCAACGGAAGTGCGTTACGGCAGACAAGAGTCGATAAGATAAGAGTCGAGTGCCAATGACTCATCATACGCTCTCGATTATATCATTTCTATACGGGTCCATTGTGATTAGCCGTCGTGTATGTGAATAGAGATCTATTGTTGTATGTGTAACGGCATCAGCGTTGTATACGTACTGGCATCAACAAGGAAATCGGCATAGATAAATAAACATTTTGAAGTTACATAATCTTTATTTAATGAAAAATGCCTGAATCAGAAGAATATTTTACCCTGTTCTTCAAAAATAATAAAACAAATTAAACATTTGGGCCGTGTACTAAACGTAAGTTTGATTAGAAATTATTTCTATATTATTCGTAGTTTCTATAAATCTTCGAAGTTATTAAAAAATTCTTTAACTTGTTAATACGATTCAGATTCATTGGAGGGCTAAAATCAAAGTATTTGGTCAGGGCAAGACCTTTAAGACCCTCCAATTTATCAAAAATAAAATTAAAAGTTTTTGACACCTTGGAATCAAAAGTTTAATTATTATTATTAAATTTGATATATATATATATATATATATATATATATATATATTTCATCCTGAACATCAGCAAATTTTTGTCTATACTTAAAAAATCTCTAATCCGAATGTCAATCCATTGATTGGGCGTTCGGGTGTGATTAAATTTGGCCTAAACGTTATATACTGATATAGGCATGAGTTTGCATGTTGAAAATCATTGCGTGTTAATCATAATAGAATAAAATCGGATATGATTTAAATTATTTATCGCCACAAACACAACAATGACAGCAACAAGGCGCTTTAACTAGGCTTGTCTATGCGGAACGTGCCTCAGTACTATCGCATTCACAATCGTTCATTCATATACCAACGTTCGTGGTCGCAAGATAGAACGAAAATTTGCGCAGAAAATATAAATTTACCGATGAACATCTAAAATAGAATTGACTCTATATTTTATAAATTTACTACTTCTAAATTTGTTTCACAACTTTACCGCAATGACTAATATTAATTCAAAATTTTTCATTTATAAACAAAAATGATTATCATCCGATTCTAGAACAAAGGTGGATGTGCTTGCTGATTTTGCTGAAGTGACTATATTTGAAACATTTTAATTCTGTTGTTAAATGTGAAAATGACTGAAATTCAAGAAAGTGCTTCTGATTGCGTTACGGTGGATTGTGATAATGCAAATTACAATTTATTGACTGATTTGTCACCGAGACCACCTGTTGATATCGAGTTTCAGGATTTGACTTATGCTGTGAGGACTGGAGGAAATGGTAATTATTTTAAATTATTTTGTTTATGGACAAACTTAAGTGATTTTATAATATTATATTATTATTTCAACTTTTGATCACAATATATTAGCTTATAAAATGATTTTTTTTTCATTGTTTTTATTTTCTTTTGGAAATATAGATCCAAAGTATATTTTCAAAAAAAAAAAAATCCATTTTTGGGCATTAAATTGTATTCAATTAAATAATATATAATCACTATTAGATCGTTTCTAATCATGAAATAAATGTATTCAATATAGACAATTAAATCATTTAGTTACAATCTAAATATAGCGAGAAAGCACAAAGCACAACCAAGCTCAAGTCTTAAGTTCCAATTTTTATTAGAAAATCAGAAAAAAATATTAAAAAATGTATAATTTGTTTTTAAAATATGTAAAATTCACATGAATGCAAATATAAATAAAAATTCAAATTTGATTTTTGAATTTCAAGCATTCCTTGAATAATCTTAATCTTGTCGTTTTAAAAATGTTCTCTAAAGCTAGGATGCCGAAAGAACGTTTTGTTTTATTTTTCATGCGTTGACTTTTCAATGATGAAATATAAATAATTCTGCTAAAAATATACATCCATTGCAATAAATTTTAGAAATGGCCAAATATATTATAGTAATGGATAGTAGGGCAGGTCATTGAGTTGAGTTAAACTCCATAACGATTCATTGAAGAATATTGTGAAAGATTTTCCGATGCCGTTTAACACCGCAGTGCCCGAAATAGGGTAGTTTCAGTTACAAACATATTTTGATCTATATATTCAAGTGAAAATTGAAGTCACCACTTCGAGTCCACCAGAGCGGAGGACCTGCCCACACAAGCAATTTTTTTGACATCTATGAAAATGTTTTAATAATAGCGCGAATGAAGGTATATTAGTCAAACTTGTTTTGTCGGATCAAATTTTGAACCGAACCCATTCTCAAATTAACTATTTTAATGACACGCCAAAAATTTCGTGATTATCGGACAAAGTAATTAGAAGAAGTTCAAGGACAATGACCCAAGAAATATAAATAGTAATATATATATATATATATATATATATATATATATATATAAATCCTGAATTTTTCAATAAATAGACTTGTTTCTTTACCGAACAATTAATCCAATAATTAAAAAACAAATAGTTGTTCATAGATGTTTATTTACGACGTTTTGGAACTACATACGTTCCATCATCAGGTTTTTCTGTCAAAAGCAATTTTTAGAAAATAACAATATTATTGATAATCATTAATTTTGTTATTTAAAAAAAATAGTTTTGACATACTAAAATTTGATGGAACGTATCTAGTTCCTAAACGTGCCGAAACGTATTGATTTGATATATTTCATTAGCAAGGGTATTGATTTTATTAACTTCCCGTAGGGTAAGTTATAGTAATCGCAAAAAAATCGAAAATGAAAATTTTTATATATCTTTACGTTTCAAAGGTTTCTGAACATTTTGGCATACCTTAGAAAAAATGGATGTATGTGTGTGTGTGTGTGTGTGTATGTGTGTGTGTATGTATGTATGTGTGTGTATGTATGTGCGGATACAAATTTTCGTCGACGATTTCGGGAACACGGATCAACCGATTTGAATAATTCAAAAAACATTCGATTCGTATTGATAAGGAGACGTGCTGATTAGTTTTTGGCGAAGGCAGGTCTAGCCGTTCCGAAGATACGGGGCAAAAAGTGCCGAAAACGGTAACTCAGTTTTTAAGAGAACGGAGCGTCCGATTTGAATAATTCAAAAAACGTTTCACTTGTATTGACAAGATGAAGAATCGATAAAATTTTCATGAAGGTAGGTCTAGCGGTTTCGGAGATATGGAGGAAAAAGTAAAAAAATGAGCCATTTGGCGGTCAAAAATGATCATTAGACATATGCACATCAAATTATCAGATATTTTATAGAGATTTTAACAATAAGTATATATTTTGTTAACATTCCTATGGGTTCCGTACCAATGCTTATGCGTTAGACAGCGACGCGGCACTTACGCGCTTTATATTTTGTCCCTATGCAGTTAAAACAGTACGATTGCTTTGAAAAAAGTTCAGATCTTCCACAATATGTCAAAATAAAGAAAAAATTTTTTTCAAAAAAAAAAAACAAAAAAAAAAAATTAAAAAAAATTTTTTTTTTTAAAAAAATTTTTTTTCAAAAAAAAGTAATTTTTTGGCCAATTTATAGTTTCTCAAAAATCTTATTTTTTCAAAGTAATTTTTTTTTCAAAAATGTTAATCGTTTTTAAAAAAATAATAATTTTTGGTACGGGAAGTTCCAGCAATTTGCCTTAAGGCACGATGCCTTAATTGCCTTAAGACAGAATTCCACTTACAGCTAGTTATTATATATTTTATTAGCAAGGGTATAAAAAAATTACAATTATTGATATCATCATAAACAATACTCGTAGTATATCTATTCATAAAATAATTTCAACTGCATTATAGTACTATACGAAATATTTGTTGCAATACATATGTTTAAATTAGACAAAAATGAATTTGGTAAATTTCATGGAAAATTTGTGAATTCGTACATTATTAGCAAGCTATAATTTATTCTGAATCATTTAATGTACATATTGACTTTTATCTATGCATTTTATATTACTAATATCTATATAATTGGTTACGGTCTAAATCACAATTACAAAGTTTAAGCACGTGAATGGTTTTGAATTAATGAGATTTGAAACAATAATTTGACTATTAGCACAATAATAAATTCATTGGCGATTGTTTGGATCTATATGCAAGTACTAATAAGGGCAGATAAACATTGCGTAGTTTTTCTTGACCCTGCAATTTGTTTAGTGTTGTGTTAGGTTTCTATATTGCAAGCACTTTTAAGCAGTTTTTAATGAAAACTGCTGTATTTTACATTTATGTAAAATATGCTAAGCAAATATTAAATGAAGAAAATTATAAATACCAAAAATTTAAAAATTTGCTACAAATGTGAAATTTTAGTGATAGTGTAAAGAAACTGTATTTTTCGCTTATGTACAAAAGTATTACACGAATAAAATTATTATGACAAGAGAAATTTTAATCACGCAAAAAACAAAAATAACTCTTTGAATTCGATTTTCACCTAAAACTTTTTTATTTCAGTTTTTCGACTTTTGATTTGATTTTGATTTGATTTTTTCTTATAAACTTTTGTTGAATAATTATAAATTAATACGTATTTTATATCGATGATTTTTTTTTTGAATTTTAGAAAATTTCGAGTGCTTTAATCTAGATTTGTTGTTTAAATAGCGTAATCATATGAAACCGCAAATTGAAGCATAAAGTGACGAAATTGAATTAAATGACGATCATGTGCGTATAATTTTAAAGGTCAACTACGATCATACAGGGATACATTAATTAAAATTGTGGGCTACTCTGATTGCACTTTATAATTGACGTCTATTTCAAATTTGATTAATTCGTGTGAATGACACTGTTTTCTATGCTATGTCAAATATAATCACTAATCACTAACAGACTCACTAATTTCTTTGTTGCGTTTTAGAACTATCAAGAAAATCAAATTAAATAGTCCAAAAACTATTCTATTTATATTTTGCAGATTTTGACTTCAAAATTACTCAATCAATAACTTATAATATCACTCACAATTAGAAGAAATTTATCATCCTTAGTATACTACCTAAAGAAACTCACTAATTTATTTACCTTTCCACATTTTTTTTTTTTTTATTTTCTTATAAAAAAAAAAAAAAAAAAAAAAAAAATTACTCAATCAATAACTTATAATATCACTCACAATTAGAAGGAATTTATCATCCTTAGTATACTACCTAAAGAAACTCACTAATTTATTTACCTTTCCACATAACATTTTTTTTAAGTATATATATTCTTTTAGATATGAATTATTATTATATTATATTATATGAATGAATAACTAGTGAAAAAGAAAATCATTAGACGTTTTTTTTTAAATCCCATACATGTAGAATTTCGAATTAATTATTTATAAAATTATAAAACCACATGACTGTCAAGTGGCAACCTAATAAAAACAGTTTTAGTTTACATAATATGTACAAACATGCGGAATTGATGTAGTAGGATATAGGACATTGTCATTATAAACATAGTAGTAATAAAATTAATTTGCTGGTAACACTCGAAGCATGCAGAAATAATTTAATATGTTACATAATTGCAAATGTAATTTTGCTTTAAAACTTGCATGGCTTTTGACGAATTTTATTTGCTAAAATAATTATACTAAAATAAATAGGTCATTTAATTTTTTTTTCAATTTCAAAAATATATTTTTTGATAAATACAAATCAGGAGAATAATTGTTAATTTATTAAGAAAATAAACCTATACATACATATGTATATCAGAAGAACTCACTAAAATCGTAATCAAAAAGGCAGATGTGGCATTTCATTTGAATTGATGCTTATAAGTTCTAAGAAAAATTTTGCAGTGATCATAACAAATAATAATTCGAAGGTTTTTGTCTGAAGAATTCATGGCTGTAGTTAATATCATTGAACGACATTAATTATAAACAAACTGTATAGTATTGTATTATTTTATTTTTTCATAAACAGATCTTCACATATGATACATTTTTAAACGTTTAATATAATCGTTCGGACTGAAGATGGAATCAATTGATTTATTTAAAGTTTTTACTGTAAAGAATGAAATTATTTTATGATTTGAGCTGTCCGAGGCTCCATGAGAAGAATTTGGTTTAGCAACCACATTTCCAGGTTCGATACCTCGATAAGATTTCCACTCGAGATTATAGAACTCAGTATTTGCTCAAAAATATAATTACATTTTCTAAAATTATAGAACTCAGTATTTGCTCAAAAATATAATTAAATTTTCTAAAATTATAGAACTCAGTATTTGCTCAAAAATATAATTAAATTTTCTAAGATAGAGAATGTTCAACTACTAAGTTGCTTTCTTATGCACCGAAAAAAA